AAAAAAAAAAGGTGCAAAAACGGTAGGCGCTCTCCAGGGCGCACAAAAGGGCTGAACCGGGGTTTGAACTAGATGTCAGTCCCAAAAGCTACAGATATGGATTCGCCGATCAGGCCGGTGACGACGCAGGCCTTGGGATGAATCACAGTGTGAATTCTAGGCAGACCGCCACATACAAGTCTGGAACTCGCGCGTTCAACTATTCTGCTTTCATAACGGCGAAGATCCCCTTTTGCGGCAACAGTGCGATTCGCTCATGGCAAACCGAGCGCGGGCACCATGCCCTACGCCATCGGATGCGGAACTTCGCGCCTTCCGTGAAACCTTACCTGAATTCAAAAAGCTTGCAAAACTGAAGAAAAAGGCGGAAAGGGGTTCGATCACTCGTAAAGAGTTTCGGGACGCACGAGCGCGATTTAACAAGCGCACTTTCTATGCTCTCCAAAAGCGTGCTTATTCAACATACTACGCAGAAGTCCTTGTGCAGAACTACGAAGACCCCTTGTCCATTCCTCCGGCCCCTGTGCTGGGCGCTTACGAGGATTGGGAATCGTTAGAACCCTTCAGAGGGGTTGCAATTCTCAACACCGCTCAGGCGGGATCAAGCAGCCAGCAAGCACACGTTTCGGAGGCAGTGGCATATGTGAGGTGAGCCAAGCTGGCCGTGGTTCCATCTGTAAGACTGTAATGTAACTTTGATCATATTGAAGATTCCTTTTGCACATTCGATCCCTTTCAAATGGTCACACGTTACCAGATGGAGCTTCTATGGTGAAGCAGATCAGTCGTCTTCCAACCACCTCCGACGGGTTGTCTTATGCCCAGAAATGTCACTTTGATGGCTGCGGATCTGTCATTCAATCGACCACTCAAGAGGGTCTGTGGAAGAGCATTGCGCGGCATATAGATCGCTGGCATTCCGACCAATGCAAGTGCGATGAGCAAGGATGTGCATTCATGTTAGGGTTGAGATGTTCGTATGCTGCTTTCTCGCATTCACTTATTTACATCCATCTGTCAACCCTAGTGGAAGAGATCTTGACTCTCTCGGTCGACACAAAGTGCAGATGCACCGAAAGTTGTGCATTTGTGATTCATGTGGCAGGTCAGACCCATTCGAGTGGGGTGTACATGGGTGGACTTGGTTCACTGATCAGTCGGGATTATAGGCATTCACCGACGCCGAAACCTTGGCCCGTCATCCGAAAGTGTGTAAGATTCAACCAGGAGTCGTCCCACTTCCGTGTTCTTTTGAAGGTTGCATTCGAAAGTGAGTATCCATCCCACTGGCTGGCAGAGGGAATTTTTGGTAACCGCATTCCCTCTTCTCAGATGTGCCACTGGGACCGAGTTGAAGGAACACCTTGCGACTCACCAAAAACCAAAAACCAAAAGCGGGCCGAGAGCTCCCGGCGATCCCGCTGGGACTTACCGATGTTCATTCGTTATGGACAAATAGGGCACCGTCTGCAACAAATCCTACGGTCAGCGGAAAAACCTTCTAGCCCACCAACGAGACAAGAAGCATTATGACGTTCAACCCGACGATGCGCCGCCAACAGCCGACTCCCCGGCCGAACAGTTCCGATGTCTATTCGTCATCGACAAAAAGGGGACTGTCTGCGACAAGACCTACGCCAGTCAACGAATTCTACGCGCCCACCAAAGGAGGAAAAATCATGAGGCTGCGCCTCCCAGCGCCGCTGCAATTCCAAAATCGAACAGGACAAACCGACCGTCGGCAGCGACCGATGCCATTCAAACCAACCCCGCTTCTGAGGAACCTGCGAACCCGAACGAGCTCCCACCTCGTCCATCCAAAGCCGGTGGTATTCAACCCAAAACAAAGCTCTTCGTGTGTCCGGAATGCGAGAAGGAATTCAAAAACCAAAGGCTGGTTCGACCGACACGTCAAGGCCCATGAGATTCCCGTCGCTGCAAACAACGATGGCTCTTCTGACGATTCAAGCCCACATGAGCCGGAAGAAGATCCATACGCTTCCGATTTCGACGCCAACACACAATCCTACAACTGCTCCTACTGTGATTCACCCCCGTACAAGACGCAAGGGGGGTTTCGGAGGCACATGGAGCGAGAGCATGGGTTTGGGGTGGTGGATTCGGACTCCGCCGACTACAATTAGGGTTCTGATGGGGATGCGGATGGCAGCAGCAACGATGATGGTTCGGTGGTTGCGGATTCAATTGACGGGGACGACCACGTCGGTGGTGTCGATGATGATTCGAGTGGGGCTCGTCACTCTTATCGAGAGGGGAGTCCCGAATACTAGTGTGATTCGCAACAGTCATGAGATGGGTAATTGGTATTGCAATTTCGCTGCTAGTTCGTGTATATAGTCTGTGTCGCATAATAATTTTGCTGTACTTTAAAAATATCGGCTCTGTGGTCTAGTAGTATGATTCTCGCTTTGGGTGCGAGAGGTCCAGGGTTCAATTCCCTGCTGAGCCCGAAACATGCAAGCTCTTTTTTTGTTTGTGTGTTTGTGTGTTTTGTCCCACCATATTTCATTCCAACTCTTCCTTGTCATCTCTGGTGTCGATCTGTGATCCAGTGATAACTCTGTAACATTTTCGTGACCGATAGATCTCGAAAGGAGCGCAAACTGTCCATGGATCTAATCGCTGGTTGGAAACATGTTACATAGACTGACTGCTATCTTAAAACGACACTATGCTAAACAATAATACTATATACAACCGTTTGCTACATGCGAATGACACTAATGCCTCGAATGCCCCTCAGATGGTGCGAAAAGCATCCAATCCAATGGATCCATCAACCCCTTGTCGGCGCCAGAATCGCACAACAGCCCATTGATTGTGACGGCGTGCATATCGAGCCATGGAATCCAATTCGCCGGGGTAGAAATCGACGCGAAGCCCAGAAGAAAACCACCATTCCAAAACGTTGACATGGCCTGCGGCAGAAGCGAATCGCATGCCTCAGGAGGAGTATCGAGGTGTGGCGACGTTTTCCTTAATCCATTGTAGAATGGCAATGTGGCCTCTCATGCTAGCTTCGTCCATCGAACAGTGATCGAATAGCATGGGCAGCTGACTCCTTTTGAACCAGTTCAGTACAGCGACGTTGCCATTTTGGCAGGCGAAGGTGAATGCAGCGGAAGTGTATGGTAGAATTTGAATGAATTGGCATTGGAACCAGAAGTCGAGGATGTTGGTGTGGCCATTGGCACAAGCGATGTCGATCAAATCGCAGGAGATGGTGGGACGGGGTAGGTTGGTACGGAGGAAGAAACTCTTGACGGATGTCAGACGGACCCACTTGTACCAGATGATGAGGAATGCGATGTCCCCAGACGTAGTGGCGTCTTCCAGGATTGTTGAGTGACATATTCCGTAGATCGCTTTGCGCGTGGTATTGTCACCGACAAGGAATGCCACCTGAGGGTCGATGAGCAAGAGGATGAGCAGGAGGAGCTCTGGTGGAAAGTTACACCGGCCCGTTTGCATAATCCAAGTAACTCTGCGTTCAATGGTTCTCCCGGTCGGAATGGAGGCGGTTTTGGCAGAGATGGTCGAAGATGGATCCGGACAGCAAAAATGTATGGAATTTGCTCAAGATGAGTGTGGAATCTGTGGATGTGTGGTCATGGGTCGCGATCATTGTGGCGTAGCGATGAAACTGTCTGCTTGAGCTTTGCAGACGAATGTTGCGTGCGAGACACTCGCAGCTAAACCCGAGTTGGATGAATGACCGATTCTGATTCACAGCTGATTCCGCAGAGCTTCAAGACGTCACTGGGACTTCCCACTTTGCTGGGATGCCAGGTTTCAGCGAATGAATGTAAACCTCGGCCGTTGGTGAGAATGGTCAGTAGTCCCGGATGTTAGCATTACTGTTAGCTTCTATTGCCTGTAACGGCGTTATGAACGGAGTGATGGGTCCGGCTAAAGTGCAAATGAAGAGCAAACGAGCTTGCTCCAATGAATGCTTACAATTCAGGAATGGCAACAGAGACAATCGCTGAAAGGTAGAGCATACCGCTGACAGCTTCAATGACACTGAGCATATGGTAACGGATTGGTGAAATAAGGTTTTCCAAAGTGAATATTCGATGGGCATGACGCAACAATCGTAACGCACGTGATGCGATCATTTGATCCGTTTGTTGGTCAGCGGCATTCAGGCTTCAGCGAGTGGACGTAAGCTGCAAGGAATATTCTCTTGCACTTTCCTGACTTACGTGTTGACTCCAACATTCGCAAGACCTCATGCAGCCGCCTACATTGCAGCCTGTATGCATCCTACGCGAACTCCTTGACTTCGTCGGTGTGACACTTGCCATTCAATTGAAAGTCACCACGTCGGCCGTAGTGAATGCAGAC